CAATGCATTGCTAAAGGATCAGTGTGTAATATACCCGTATAAAACTTACGGCCGATTAAAAAATACTGCTATAGCAAAATTCACAAGATCAATGCACCCTTTATCAAACCGCTTTATTGAATTTAACGCATCCTTACAGGCATCTCTGGATCTGTGAATGATCAGAAGTGGTGTATAATCCTGAGTTTATCATCATTCACTGATCCTGGTGGAAATATAGCTAAAGAAGCCAAACAAGACTTTTTAACCACACAAACAGCACTTAGTCCATAGAATGCAGTTCCTGGGTGTGAATGAATGCACTGTCACTGACTAGATATACTTAAAATAACGCAGGCCACGGTTTACATGGCATTACCAGGACCCACATTGCATTATTATACATTATATTCAACATTATATATAGTAGTTTAGTGTATTAGTGGCACTAAAACTGTGTAAACTTGATTTCTTCCTCAGATTTTGGGTGAACTGTACACACTACAGATCGTCACCATCTACGATACTTATTGATGCATGTATGGCAGGGTTCCTCGATAGGCAGCAATGGCTGGACATCACAGAGGCGTGATTAGCAGGCTAGCTGCTGTCAACCCAGCACTAAACCGGTCTGCAAACATGAGAGAGACGATGGATACTGTGATGAGGCTGGTAAACTATACTCGCGTGAGTTCTGGTCTGAACAGCGCCTTTTCTGAGATGACAGCACAACACCACGATCTTTTGTATAAGATCTATAAACACAACAACAACAATATATATTGTTCCAGCCCTAGTCAATACCTTTAATTTATGTTCATCTCTTTAACATGTATTTGTGGATCATAATCCATTTATTTGGAATTATGCAACAAAAGCATCTCCACATAGAAAGGGTCATAAAAAGCCTTACATTGATTTGTATAAATTCTGCAGATACACTGTAATAAATAGAGAAAACAAGTCCTTCCTCGATATTTGTGCTTTGATAATGTTTCGATTGACCTTTCGACTCCCATCGATATAAACTGGTGTTTCTGATATGGGTTAATACTCTTCTTGCGGGCTAATAAACTCTGAAGAGAACACACTGCAACACTGCTGACAGGACCAGAAGACGAGAAGACTGTGAACACGAGCCCGAGGCTCTTCTGCTTCAGCGGAACACAAAGCAAGAGAAACAAGCAGCCACAGCACGGCTGGCCTCTGAACGAGCGGCTGAGGTGTTTGTTTACTGGTCTGAGTGGAACCCCAAACCGGAAGCGCCCTCGCAGTCTGCCGCCAGCAGCTGTACACAGCACACACGGCTTACTAGCGTAACTAGCGGGTGCAGCAGTAACTCACCCGCGGACACTCCAGCCAGAAGCACGAGACACACTCCGAAGCAGCGAGGCGCCTTCATGACTGTATGCCTGTATGCCTGAGCTGCAGTCCGCGTCGACAACACAGGAAGCGGAGCGCCAGTCATGCGGAAGTGATGCCACGGAACTACAGGCGTGCTGTGACGCAGAACCAGAGTAAGAGGGAGTGCTCTTCACACAGCGTCCCACACTCGTGATCTGCGCCAAAGCCAATCTCCTTCTTCTTCTCCTTCTTCTTCTTTAGGTCAAAGCCAGTTTCCGGTAGTGACGGCCGCTTTTGAAGCTTCGAAACCTTTGCGAAATAATCATTTGTTTCGAAGCGCGAATCAAACGGCCACAGTCACGTGATTTCAGTAGTGTTTAGATGAATCATGCGCGCTCACTGAGATCGACCCACTGAACCACCTAAGTTTCATCCATTTGTAGACATTTTAACCAAACATTTGTGTAATTACATGGATGAGTAGTAGTTAACCGTGTTGGCCTGTTTAGACAAGCTCTCCATAAAACAGACAAAAGCCCTGCAAATTATAATAATAATTTTAAAACATATTATACAGATATTAAATGGGTCATATGATGCGATCTCAATTGTTCCTTTCTCTTTGGAGTGTTACAAGCTCTTGGTGCATAAAGAAGATCTGTAAAGTTGCA